GTATTTGTGCTTAGTATGTCTATCGGGTCACATTACCCAGCTAGTGCCGTTTAGTCTGAAAAAATATGGGTGCTCTTCCCACAGGCCAGATGTGCCTAAAGGCGAAAAAAGGGATCTTTACTTTTTTACTTACCTATGTCTATCTGGTACAAGAAGCCAGAATTACATTGTTGGATCCGGCTGAATTAAAAACACTGCATTTAAGGATCTGAAACAAATACCTCTTTTCCTTCACTTGTTTGTACTGCTGCTCCTCAGTTGTTTGCTCTTGGCTTTTTCTGTTTCTTGTTCTTCTTTTTGTTCTTCATCTTTCTCATCTTCTTTCTTTCTTTGTAATCTATCTCTTGTACTTCATTGTCATATTCTTCTTCTTTCTCTCATCCTTTCAGCATATCCTACTCTTCCTCTTCCCTGTTGTACTCATTCTCCCTCCCTTCTTTCTGTTTGTCATCTTTTTCTGCGTCTTCCTTCTCTTCGGCTGTCACATCCCTCCTCCCTTTCTTTTCATCATCTTTCTCTTCTTCTTTCTCTTCATCTGTTACCTCTTCCTTTGCCTCTTCCACTTCTTCTTTCTCTTACCACTATTCTCATTTCACTATTTATTTCTTTTATGTCTTAATTTCAATATTTTTCAAACCATTATCTTTTGCTGCTGCTGCCACTACCACCATACTTCTGCTACAGCTATTGTTTTTACTTCTGCGTCATAATTTTTTCCTTTTTTACATTTGCACATTAGTATATAAAGTATATTAGTAACAAAAACCAACCAACCATGGATAAGTTAAAAAAAAGAAGCGAGTAAAACTCAGCCAACCAAGATGAGGGAAGGTTATTCACGTAGAAGAAGTATGACACGGTGTGGAGAAAGCTGAAAGGAGTCCGGATCATTGACATACCTCCTCTCAGCTCAGAAAACCTCCAGAATTGGCACCTGGAATGTTTGAACTCTCTATGAAGGAAGGCCAGAAAACACATGGTGAAGAGAGCTTGAGTTAGAAAGATGGGGAGGACATGGGGAGAACTCCATGCAATAGCGAAGGATAGAAAGACTTGACGTGAGTTGGTTGAGGGCCTATGCTCTATTGGGGGATAGAAAGGCAGAAGAAGAAAAAGTATGTAAAGAGAGTTGCATTGTGAACTCTGTTAGATGCCTGCATGTTGTACTGCTCATTGCCTCATTTACCTACCCGACACAGGTATAGAGCCTCAGGAGCTCAACTAATTCAGAACCGGATGCTTTGATGAGGCAGTATTAACTCCGTTGCTGGCCTTCTAGGCCCATGATAATCTTGTTTCTCTTCTGACTTCGTTACTTGTTTCCAAAAGGCTCTGATCATATCTGCCTTTGATTCCCATAAGACTTGGCATAATTCACAGTCCAGATGGACAAACAACTAGAACTTTCTGCCACAGTTCACAGCCGGTGGTCAACGCAAACAAACAACAGTCACCTAGGGTGAAATCCACAGGTCACAGTACAGTCTAATATTTCAGAGGGGTGGTAGATAGGCTGCATGCAGTCATGGGACCTAGGCTGCACTCTCTCGTGGGATGTAGGTGGGTTGGGGTTAGAGCAAGTGCCAGATGTTTTGGGGCCGTTAAAACACATCAGAAAGCCAGAAAACTCAGTCTTACCAGCCTCTAAAATGTTGAACTGTCCTGTGGTGTCATCTGGGGTAGGATATCATAAAAAAAACCTCACCTAATGCTGAGGAAGCTGAAACTATGAATGGGGCGACCATCCAAGAAATGTTGGATTGGTTTGATCAAACATCTTTCTATTTTATTGCTACATTTTGTCATTAATGTTTATCTGTAATAACTAGCTGTTGCTTGGCTTCAGTCGCAGCACATCCCAAGGAAACCTGGCAGCATTCAGTCCCACATTCAGAGGTGTAGCCTCCAGGTGGGACACACACATTTGTTTTTCTTGCTGCTCCCTCAGTTTGCAGTGATCCCACATATGTTCATTGCTATTGGTTGCTGCACATTTCTCTCCTTACATTTAAGCTTTCTAATGGTATCTGTGTTTTGGTTTCTCACCTATTTTTTTAGAAGATTTTTTTGGGGGTAATAATCAAAAAAGTGATTTCCTGTGTGGGTTCCGTGGCCTTATTGTGAGGAAAACAAAAATATATCCCCAATAAGTCATGTCACAAGAGTCGACTAATTGGGGCATCCTTTGAAGTAGGATTGCATCTGCCAGAGAGGCAAGAAACCAACAGTCTGCACACAGATAAGCAAAATCTGTAAAACGGATGTGTATGCAAGACTCAGGTTCTGAACAAGACTTGAGCCTGGAGGTGGACGAACAATCAGACTCTCCCACCAGTGACCGTGAAGAAGAAGGAGAAAAAGTGACCATATTTGTTTGCAGATGTGCTCTGATTCCCACATGTATTCATTGCTTATATTTATGGCACAGACTCAGTTTTCTACTGTTTAGCTTTCTAATGGTATTCATATTCTTGCTTTGGTTTTATACGCATTGTATTATTTTGGGCTAAGGATTTGTTTAGTTCTGAAAATAGGGCCATATGAGAAAATTGGAAAATGATTGTAAATTTGTTGTGATCCTACTTACATTTATTGATAATGATTAGTGCACAGTTTTCTCTTTACAGTTTGTTTAGCTTTCTGATGATATACTTGCTTTTGTTCCAAACACTTTTTGGGGAACATAATTTTGTAATAATGATAATATGTCCACAGATCTTGCAAATCTCTTGTGATAATGTTTGATACACACCCGTGCAGACACACAGATGTGTATATATATATATATATATATATATATATATATATATATATATATATATATATATATATATATATATATATATATATATATATATATATATATATATATATTATATAACTTTTCAGTATTTGTAGAGTTCTGCTAGTGGTTTTGCTTTAGTTTTTGCACACACTTATTGTGTTTTTGGGGAAAAAATTATTTTATTTTGAAAATTGAACTACACATTTTACAAGTTTGCTGTGATCCCACATATGTCATCATCATCATCATTTGCTATGCCGTCAAGCAAATGCTGTCATGTTTATTATATCACATGATCACCAGTTTCTTAGATCAGTTCACTGTTCTTGTCTCAGCCTCTCCATATGACTGAGTCATCCAGGACTAGTCCTATATACCCAATACACGTGAAAGGCATGGACAAGGGTCCTTTACTTTTTGACTTTACGTGTATTTCATTGATAATGTTGGTGAAACTTTTTCACCTTACACCTTGTTTAATTTACTAGAGATGTTTGACATTAAAACTGCTGTTACTACTTGTATTTACCACTTTTGTGGTGTATGCAAGAGGGCTGGGGGGAGGAGGGGGGGGGGGGTCTTTGAGTCTGTGGATTTAGGACTGCTTGTGGTCAGTGCTGTCGCCACGGACTGTGCAGGTTTGAATTTTATCTTTGCCCCGACAGAAAAAAAAATCCACAACCTTATCGAGAATTCAAACATGGGTCTCCTACATTGGATCTTCATATTGAGCAGACCACCAACAAACTAGGATTAGATAACTCTTGATTACAATGTTGAGAGTCATGCACTGGTTATGACCCATCTTACAAAAAATATAATCACAACATATTGGGGTGTTTGTTTATTGCTGACTTGGCATTGCTGTAATCTGCACATTTTAAACTGGATATATGATGCACACACAGCCTGCTTTGTATGCTTTGCTGAATGTCACTGCCTGCTTGAGGACAATGTATATGCTGTCCAAGTCACCTGTTGCCATAACTTTGATCAGCACACATTGTGTAGCATCGTGTAAAAGTACATACAGTGGATTATTAATTACAGATAGTGTAAGTGTTACACAATTTATTGTGTATATTCACCCGCTTTGGATAGCAGGGTTAACTACAAGGCGGGTGAGCCATGGACCAGGCTAATATGCTCAGCGCTGTATTTCTTCTTCTTCTCCTCCTTCTCCTTCGTCTCCTGCTTCTTCTTCTTCTTCTTCTCCTTTTTCTTCTTCTTCTGCTGCTTCTTTTTCTTCTTGTTCTTGTTCTTGTTCTTGTTCTTCTTCTTCTTCTTCTTCTTGCAGTCCCGGGAAGTAGAGGCGGCCGACGTGATGCTGACCATATCACCCATCTTGTGCCGTTGGTCTCCCTGTACGCCTAAAGGCATAGAAAAGGGTCCTTTACTTTACTTACTTTACTTACTATTGTTTATGTCTTTGTTCAGATGTACAACATGGTACCATGGCTTTAACTAGTAATTAACATAAATGTTAAAGATGTCAGAATTATAGCATTCTAGGGAGTTGAATTTGATATCTGGATCTTCTCATGTGGATTGCCATTCAGGATGTGACTCTTTGAGTAGTTAAAAAGTTAGTTTCGTATCCTTTACAGGACGTTGCAGAACCAACCCTAACAGCCCCTGGCTGTTGTGTGGTTTCTCTTGGCAAATTTACGTCCAGTAGTTTGCCATTGCTTACTGGACGGTCGGCTTTCTTGATACCACTGTCGAAACCAACGCAAGGCGCATTGCCCGCAACTGGGATCGAACCCGGCATCCCGGCATTTCGAAGCGAAGCGTTCGCATGGACTTAGCCACAGAGCCGACTTTTGAGTAGTAGAGTTGATTAAACTTTCGGGTGGCAGCATGAATCGGAGAAAGAGTCAGTTATTAAGTGTTAATGTTACTTTCAACATTTCAAGAGTTAATAAAAGTTAAAAAATATCACTTTCCACATTTCAGGAGTTTATGAAAGTTAAAATATTTAATAAAAAAAAAAAAGAGACATAATTCGTTTACTGCTACATCTCTTGACATCCAGCTTTAACTTTTCATGAACACAAAATGGTCTGCAGCCTAATTGCCTGCAATTGATTCAGACTCCTTATATAGGTATTATAAAACTCTCTGCTTAACCCCTAAACAACAAATGCCACTGTAAGATTATCATAACTTTACTGATGTATTCATTCTAGTGATATTTTCTTTTGTTTGCTTCCAGATCCAAAGAACCTCAGTGGAACCAAGGTAATGTGAAACATTCTGGTGGCTAGTTCTGTCCTTTGATTGTGAAATCCTGTACTTTGTTATCTGTGTCTTGTCTTTGTTACCCTTATTTGCTACAACTGGGTTCATCTGGGTAAAGGTTCGACATCACGTCATTCAGGACAAGGCCATGTCAGCTCCGTTTCCTTCCTCAACAGCCAGCGAAGAGGTTCCATTCTAACGGTGCCCGTTGTCATCTGCTTAATCACTTGTCTTACCTTTCCCGTGAGTATTTGCTACAAGTGATAGCAATATAATGTCTTCTTCTCCTTCTTTTGCCTTTCCAACCCCCAATGGAGCATGGGCCCCCAACTAAATCACGCCAAGTCATTCTGTCCTTCGCTATTGCATGCAACTCCCCCCTTATCTTTTCAGTCTTTTTAACTTCACTCTCTAGCTCTCTTCTCCATGTGTTTTTGGGGTCTTCCTTTATTTCTGTGCCCCTGTGGGTTCCAGTGCAAAGACATTCTAGTTATATTGTTATCAAGTGCAAAGACATTCTAGTTATATCATTATCAGGTTCCTTTAACATGTGTTGTATCTGAAACCCGAGAAGTAGTGTATCATTTATTTACATCCTTTGTTTAGTTCGGATCTAAAGCTTATGGGTTAGGTACACTATTTCACAATGCAATCCTGGAGGTTTACTAGAGGTCGATTCTCATGGTGGGCAGTTTAAAAAACAAACAAACCTAGTTCTTATGGCTTTCTGACAGTTATTGAAAAGTTGCCTGTAGCAAATGTGGCAAAATATTGTAGCTTTTTTTGATATCCTTTGATTAGTTCAGATCTAGAGCTTACAAGACAATGCAATCCTCAGTGTTTACCAGGGTTCGATTCCCATGGTGGGCTATTAAAAAAAAAGTACTCTTGGCTTTCAGACAGTGGTAGAAGAGTCGCACCATGAAAGAGACTGAGGTCTCATTACATGATATTCCCAAATTAGCAGTGTATACATTGCAGCCGACCTTCATTGTGCAGATGGCATCATAGTTTTTTTGTTTTGTTTATTACTCTTGTACTCTTGTATTTAATTTTGGATCTTACTTCTGTATGTTAATCTTATATGTTAATCTTCTATGTTACTCTTCTGTGTGATTCCTGTATTTTTCTATGTTACGTTTCCATGTTGCATTTCTATGTTACTCTTCTGTTTGATTCTTGTATGTTACTCTTATATGTTACACTTGTATGTTACTCTTCTATGTAACATTTCTAAGTTATTATTGTAGGTTACTCTTGTTTGTTAATCTTAAATGTTATTCTTGTCTGTTACTCCTGTGTTATCAGTCCTGTCCATCTGTTCTGTGTTACTCTTCTATGAGATTCTTGTATGTTACTCATGTATGTTACACTTGTATGTTACTCTTCTATGTAACATTTCTAAGTTATTATTGTAGGTTACTCTTGTTTGTTAATCTTAAATTTTATTCTTGTATGTTACTCCTGTGTTATCTGTCTTGTCCATCTGTTCAGTGTTATTTTTCTTGTCTATCAGTTCGGTGCTCTTTTTCCTGTCCATCTGTTCAGTGTTATTTTTCTTGTCTATCTGTTTGGTGTTCTTTTTCTTGTCCATTTGTTCAATGTTATTTTTCTTGTCTATCTGTTTGGTGCTCTTTTTCTTGTCCATCTGTTCAGTGTTATTTTTCTTGTCCATCTGTTGTATAATTCAGTGACACAAGCGATGTTGATCCCGCTGAATAATGTGAATGTTCTTGTCCATTTGTTTTGCGTTATGTGGCTCAGTGAGAGGTATGTTTTCATAATCTGTCATCTTTTCATATTTTCACCTTTTTTATTTTTTTGCATGTGCTTACATTTGGAATCAGCAATTTAGTATATTTTTTGTGTATTAAGCAAAGTTGACAATATATTATTATCTTTTGTGGTTATGGTTTAATATTGCTATTGCTATAAAATGTCAAAATGCTGTTATTAAATACACTTAGATTAGCACTAGATATAGCAGCAGACCCGAGTGGTTGAATGTTATCTGAAGTCTGAATAAACAGAAGTTTATCAGACATAAACATAAGACAAAATATGTACACCAGTCACTCAGTCTAAACCAAAATAACCCACCAACCAGCCCAACAGTTAACCAAGCGATTTGATTTGATTTGATTTGATTTGATTCAAGAACCGACATCACAGCACTCGGGGCATTCCTATAAGCGCTCCATCCCCATCTTCAGCAGCCAGCGAAGAGTTCCAATACTAATGGTGCCAGTAGCTTTCTGATTAAACGTCCGTCTTGCCTTTCCTCTGAGCCTTGAGCTTCTGCCAGAACCTCTCGTCACTGACAGCTGCATCAATCTCACCAAAATGTGGTGATCCATCTGTTCCTCCGCATTGTATACGCTCTCCCACAAGGCACTAACCACGTCTACCCTATCATGTAGCAGTATTTCACCAAGTTATGCAGAGCCAGCCAGTCTGTCCGCCTGTTCATTTCCCAACACACTGGCGCAACCCGGTGAAAAAATCCAGACAATACTCCTCACTCGTGTCCTCCGCAGCGAAGCATGCCACTCTGCACGAAGCATACCTGTTCTGATCTTCCTCAGCATGCTTTCTGAATCAGTTACAATTACAATGTGTGTGTGTGTGTCGTGTTCTCTAGCCAACGGAAAGCTGCAGTGACAGCCTCCACCTCCATTCTTAAGCTGGACGTTGTGGTATCATATGCTAGGCTCTCCTGCACCAAATGTCGACCATTAACTTTTGCTAAGAAACCCCAAGCACTTCTTTTGCCTCTTGACACAGAACCGTCTGTGTAAATGATCAAATCCTCTGAGCGAGCATTATCTTGAATTAATTGCTGAATTTCCACCTCTGTGGCACCTGCTGGCCAGTCTCTGCATTCCCGGCTCAGTGTGATTATGACTCTACACAAGTCTGACTGCTCAGGTGGCACTTTGACCCACTCCTCTCCTCGCCTAATGTTCTCAAGGATGCAAACCTGTCTGATTGTGTCTTCTGCCTGAGCCATCCATGACCTCCCTCTTATCAGCCGCTGACCCTTAACTGCACCCAGAGCTTCATGCAGAGGGTTTAACCAAGCAATATCCTAACCAACCGTCCAGCCAAGCTATAACCAAAACAACCCAACCCAAAGGTGCATTTTACAAACGATTTGTTTATGTTCCTGTGATCTACTTATTGTCCATGTTTGGCACTGATAAAATAGAAGAGGGATAATGATGGTATTAATCATCAGCTGTTTGGCCATGGAAAATTTGGGGTTGATAACGTATAGTGTCTATGCCTTAAACAGGGTTATTTGACCAGGTTTACTAAGGGGCTGAAATTTTGAAAAGAATCATCACGGGCCAGTGGCTTTACCCTAAGCACAGAAAGAGCATTCATATGATACAACTGGTGATGGTCCACGGGCCACTTGATGGACTCTGCGGGCCAGATTTAGCCCGTCAGTTGAATAGCCCTGCCTTAAAGGGTGTACGTCTGGCCTTTTTTTTTTTATACACACCTGCTGAACGGCCTCTATGCACATTTAATTTACTTTTTTAATTTTAATGTAAATTTTACTTCTGTACACTGCATACAAACTCTCACATTGAAAACAATTTATGCTGGTGTCAATTTATTATTTGTGAGCATATTTATTTTGCAGCAATCAGGGAAATTACAATTGACACAGACATAGAAATGCTTGAATAATAATTGAATGAATGAATAAATGAATCATTCAATCACTCAATCAGTCAAGTTCCTGTGTGAGTTCTGGGGCCTCATTTTTGGGGGAAGAACAGACCCACTGCCTCCCTATCAAGCATGGAGTAAAAGATGATTACTTCCAAAGTCAGAGAACATCTGCCTGAGAGGCAGGAACCAACAGTCTGCATATGAATAAGCAGATGTGAAAAATGGATGTACATGCAAATTTCAAGTTCTGGAACAAGACTAAATTCCAGAAGTTGACGAGCAACCGGGACATTCCGCTTGAGTTTACTACCTGCGAAAGCTAAGAAAAAGAAGGAGAAGAATCAATCAAGAATTGATATCACTGTGCTTGAGGCATTCCTACATGTGCTCTGACCCCTTCCTCAGTAGCCGGCAAATAGTTTCCATACTGATGATGCCAGTTTCAACCTGATCAGAGGTCTACCTATCCTTTCCCCTGCATGTTGAAAACCATCCAGACCCTCTGCCTACTCCCCGCTGTATCAGTCTTCCTAGGTATGACAACTCTGTCTGTTCCATGGTATTATCTATTTGATCCTAGAGAAGCTTTAGTATGTCCTTTTTATTGTAAAGTAGCTCCTGCCCAGAGGAGCGGCGGCAGCAACCAGTGCTTAAATAGTGGAGTCTATGACGAGGGAGGTTTAACCAACACATACACTTTCTCTCTGTGTCTCTGTCGCTGTCTCTCTGTTTCTCTCTCTCACTTTGTCTCTCTATTTCTCTATGTCTCTCTCTGTCTGTCTCTCTGTCTTGCTTTATGTTTTTGTCTGCCTGTCTGTCTGTCTGCACTGTCTGTCTGTCTGTCTGTCTGTCTCTCTGTCTGTGTCTGTCTGTCTGTCTGTCTGTCTGTCTGTCTGTCTGTCTGTCTGTCTGTCTGTCTGTCTGTCTGTCACTGTCTTTTTCTGTCTGTCTCTCTCTCTCTCTCTCTCTCTCTCTCTCTCTCTCTCTCTCTCTCTCTCTCTCTCTCTCTCTCTCTCTCTCTCACACACACAAACACACACATACACACACACTCATTTTCCAGCACATTTAATATCTAGAGCTTGATCGCTATTGACTAGTATCACTTTGCAATTTTTCAGTTCCTGTGTCTTATTATAGTTCAAAATAAGCAGATCAGGTTTAATAGTAAAATATGAACGACATTGACACATCCAAAACAGTTTTTGTAGTGAGAAGTCAGTAAAGAATTCATTTGTATATAACTGGTTGACAGCTCATATGACTAAGTATTGGTATCATGTGAATAAATTGACTAGTCTGTCCTCATGTTTGTTCTGGGGTCCTATTGGGAGGGGGGGGGGGGGAGTAGACCCACTGGTCTCTGACAAGCGGGCTGTAAAAGGCAACTAATAAAGATTTTGCTGAAATCAGACATGTTGAGCAGAAAGGTGCAGATATCATAGCCAAGCTGGGTACCACAACATAATATGCCTATTTCCCTTTGAAGGGCGAATGCAGAAGAAGAGTCAGTCAAGATATCATTTCAAATCTAATTGATGTGTTTTCCAGAAGAAGGAAGCCTCAAGTTGAACATCCGTGGTCGTGTGCTCAACCTATGTGCCCCATCAGACCTGCTGAACTACAGTGTCAGTAAACTGGGTGAAGCTCCAGCAGAGAAGCTACAGCTGGAGTGGGTGTATCCTGATGAGTGTTATACTTTTTTATTTTGTCTTGTTTTATCTTCTTCCCCGTATGGGTTTGGGGGGCCCCGTTGAGGGAAGAGGGGAAAATAAGAATAGACCCACTGCCTCCCCAACAAACTAATTGGGGGTTTTCTTCGAAGTCGGGGTGCATCTGCCTGAGAGGCAAGGAACCAACAGTCTGCATGCAACACTCAGATTCTGGAAAGTCCAGTGGTGGATGAACAACCAGAACTTTTGGTCAGAGTCACAGTCGGTGAACACGAAGAAGAAGAAGAAGATTTATCTTCTGTCTTGGGTAGACTCAGTTTTTAGGTTAACTCACATTCACTTGTCCAAATCACTCAACCCAGCGCAGAAAACATAATCATGTTCCGTTCTTTCACCCTTCTAATAATCTGTTCAATTAGCATGCACTACTCTAGCATAGCTCACTTCCTCCCATGTCCCACAACAATCATGCTAACCCCATGATTGTCTTTTGTGGCCTGTGCCTTCCTAAGCCTCACCTCTTTGGATGTAAATTATGCTAATTAGATGTTTCTGGTAATCTGGTAATCTGGTAATCCTAGTTTCAGCTTCATAGCAAACGGGTCACCCCACATATGCTCCGCTCCTGTGCCAACGAAAAACAAACGCAGCTCACAATTAGATGTATATCTTAGTTTGGTAAAGCTGGTCATCTCCTGATAGTAAAACTTGTCATCTCCTGATGGTAAAACTTGTCATATCCTGATGGTAAAACTTGTCATCTACTGATGGTAAAACTTGTCATCTCCTGATGGTAAAACTTGTCATCTCCTGATGGTAAAACTTGTCATCTCCTGATGGTAAAACTTGCCATCTACTGATGGCAAAACTTGTCATCTACTAATGGTAAAACTTGTCATCTACTGATGGTAAAACTTGTCATCTCGTGATGGTAAAACTTGTCATCTACTGATGGTAAAACTTGTCATCTTCTGATGGTAAAACACATATCATTTCAGCCTTGTTAATGAGACAACAGTGCACCAAACTGTCATGGCTGTCAGAATGTGTCTCCCTTCTAGTGTCATACAGTTTGTTACATATACTGCAGCTTGGCTGTAAATCCTGATACAACATGGCCACCACCCTAAGATGGCGAATATAGAAGAAAAAGACAAAGAAATGTGAATCCAAGAAGAACAAATTCCAGACACTGTATAAAACAGTTATATTGGGGCACCATACTGTTACCAAGTGCCGATTGGTCTATAAAATATAGTACTAGCTTTATATGTCCAATACGTCTTAAGGCGTGGAAAAGGGTCCTTTACTTTTTTCCATACGGTTACAAAGTAACTGCTGACAAATGGCTTGGGCGCTCAGTAGCTGTTTCTTACTGATGATGTAATATATTGTCCTGATAGTGACTGTAGTGGAAGTGGTAGTGGATGCAGCGGAGATGGCAATGGATACTCATTCCTGTGAGTTTTACATGAAATATTTGGGAAGTTACTTGCCCTAACCCAGCTTGCTACAGATACGGGTATCGTGGTAGAGACTGCAGGTCCAACCTCTACTATCTGCCGACTGGGGAGATTATTTACTTTACAGCAGCTGTTGTAGTTCTTCACAATGTGGAGGAACAGACGCAGCGGCATTACTTAGGTCACACTGACGATATTAAATGGTAAGTAGAAGTTAAGGACTGCTTATTTATACTGTCATGTTAGCAAAGTCTGTCTCCGCTTCACTCATTGTCATGTCAGAATTTTCAGACATTGTCAGGTCAGGATACTCTGCTTCAGTCACTGTCATGTCAGGATTTTCAGCATTTTCTTCAGCCATTGTCATGTCAGGATGCTCTGCTATAGTTGCTGTCCTGTCAGGATTTTCAGCATTTGCTTCTGTCATTGTATGTCAGGATTTTCAACATTTTCTTCTGTCATTGTCATGTCAGGATTTTTCAGCATTTGCTTCTGTCATTGTAATGTCAGGATTTTCAGCATTTGCTTCTGTCACTGTCATGTCAGGATTTTCAGCATTAGCTTCTGTCATTGCCATGTCAGGACTTTCAGCATATGCTTCTGTCATTGTCATGTCAGGATTTTCAGCATTAGATTCTGTCATTGTCCTGTCAGGACATTCAGCATTTGCTTCTGTCATTGTCATGTCAGGATTTTCATCATTTGATTTGGTCAATGTCATGTCAGGATATTCTGCATCAATCACAGTCATGTCAGGATTTTCAGCTTTAGCTTCAATCGCTGTCCTGTCAGGATTTTCAGCATTTGCTTCTGTCATTGTCCTGTCTGGATTTTCAGCATTTGCTTCTGTCATTGTCCTGTCAGGATTTTCAGCATTTGCTTCTGTCATTTTCATGTCAGGATTTTCAGCATTTGCTTCTGTCATTTTCATGTCAGGATTTTCAGCATTTGCTTCTGTCATTTTCATGTCTGGATTTTCAGCATTAGATTCTGTCATTATCATGTCAGGATTTTCAGCGTTAGATTCTGTCATTGTCATGTCAGGATTTTCAGCATTTGCTTCTGTCATTATCATGTCAGGATTTTCAGCATTAGATTCTGTCATTGTCATGTCAGGATTTTCAGCATTTGCTTCTGTCATTTTCATGTCAGGATTTTCAGCATTTGCTTCTGTCATTTTCATGTCTGGATTTTCAGCATTAGATTCTGTCATTATCATGTCAGGATTTTCAGCATTAGATTCTGTCATGTCATGTCAGGATTTTCAGCATTTGCTTCTGTCATTGTCATGTCAGGATTTTTAGCATTAGATTCTGTCATTGTCATGTCAGGATTTTCAGCATTAGATTCTGTCATTGTCATGTCAGGATTTTCAGCATTTGCTTCTGTCATTGTCATGTCAGGATTTTCAGCATTTGTTTCTGTCATTGTCATGTCCGGAAATTCTGCATCAATCACAGTCATGTCAGGATTTTCAGCTTTGCTTCAACCATTGTTATGTCAGAATATTGAGCATCAATCACTGTCATGTCGGGATTTTCAATAGTTGCTGTCTTCCTTTAGTTGTGTAGCTTGTGCAGTTGTAAACTGCCTAAAAATTAATATTGGTAAAACAAAATGCATGTTAATATCAACAAGACAAAAACTATATTCTTCAACTTTTCAGAATATTCAACTCTACATCGGTAACAGCCCAGTAGATTATGTAATTGATCATAGAGATTAAGGCCTGATTATTGATAGAAATGTAACCTTTAGTTCTCATATGCAAGCTCTAGTGAAACAAACAGCTAAAAAATTTACCAGCTTGCAAAAATTAAACACTTTCTGGATGAAAACACCAGAAGGATATCCTATACTTCCCATATTCAGACATGCCTAGACTACTGCTCAATAATATGGGATGGTTGTCTAAGTTCAGGCATAAAACTGCTTCAGGCACTTCTGTCGCCAACCCAACTTGGATATATCCTAAAGCAGTGGTTCCCAAACTGTACGCCGCGGCACCCCGGAGAGCCGCGACCTCTTCATAGGGGCGCCGCAAAATATTCCAAAATACACAAATGAAAAAAAAATCTATAACATACGAATAGTCATATTTTTACTTAGGTTAGGGCGCTGCGTAAAAATTTTAGTTGAAAAAAGGCACCACGACTAAGTAAAGTTTGGGTAACACTGCCCTAGAGTAATGAGTATGTGGGTTTGAATCCTTACACTGCACAAACACACACATGAGAAATTAAACTTCTTCTTCTTCTTCTTCTTCTTCTTCTTCGATCCTTCTGTTAGAAAATAAGACATCAATGGGACAGAAAGGGTTTAAATAATAAGTGAGTTAGAATGGTTAAAAATAAAACATTAGTAGATTAGTAGTATTTCAGAAAGATGTATCTACAAACGCATGGTTAAAAAACCCCTATAAATACTATTGGAAGCTATTTAAATATTATCTCACTTCAGACTACATGATATAATAGAAGATAATAGTATCTCAAGCATATTATTGATTTCCACCAAGATTGATTATACTTAGTTTTATAACTGTTTTAAAATGTAGGTATACTTAGATTTGATTGTAACTAAGAAGTTGTTGGTGATGTTTATTATTGTTATCGTTATCTGCTAAAATGATGTTTGAATGTAATAATGTGTGCAGGGAGTGAGGCCAGAAGGGCAGTGTAAGACAGGCTTGTGTGCCCAATCTCATTGTGTGCTCTTTCATTATATTGTGTTTCTGTAATGTCTCTTTTACTCCCTCCAGCATCTCTTTCTTGATTTGCCTCTTGTAGCCTGCTGTTCTCTTGTAGCCTGCTGTTTTCGTGTAGCCTGCTGTTCTCGTGTAGCCTGCTGTTCTTGTGTAGCCTGCTGTTCTCTTGTAACCTGCTGTTCTCTTGTAGCCTGCTGTTCTCTTGTAGCCTGCTGTTCTCGTGTAGCCTGTTGTTCTCGTGTAGCCTGCTGTTCTCGTGTAGCCTGCTGTTCTCGTGTAGCCTGCTGTTCTCGTGTAGCCTGCTGTTCTCGTGTAGCCTGCTGTTCTCTTGTAGCCTGCTGTTCTCTTGTAGCCTGCTGTTCTCGTGTAGCCTGCTGTTCTCGTGTAGCCTGCTGTTGTTGTGCAGCCTGCTGTTCTCATGTAGCCTGCTGTTCTCATGTAGCCTGCTGTTTTCATGTAGCCTGCTGTTCTCATGTAGCCTGCTGTTCTCGTGTAGCCTGCTGTTCTCATGTAGCCTGCTGTTCTCATGTAGCCTGCTGTTCTCATGTAGCCTGCTGTTCTCTTGTAGCCTGCTGTTCTCTTCTGCGGAACAAACTTTATTTTCAAAAGGTCACAAATTGGGCACGCGGGCAAGTCTTACAATAGGCCCTTCCAAACGGCCATCTGTCACTGCGGAGAGAGACTGAGCCATATGGGATAAAACCCAGTGCAGTGAAGTCGACCCTCTCACCTTTACCTTTACTAATCCACTAATATTTTATTTTAAACCATTCTAACTCAGTTATTACTTAAACCCTTTTTGTCCCATTGATGTCTTATTTTAACTCATTAAAACTCAAGAACGGCTTTCAGGACTTATACATTGGGAAGTAACAATAATGGCCTGGCATTGATAGTGTAGAGTAATAAGATTCCTACAGATATCTATGTTCCCATCTATGTTTGTGGAGCAAAGATGGGGTGACCCGTTTGCTATGAAGCTGAAACTAAGACTACCAGACATCTATGTTCCCAGCCTTGCCATCCATCCAGACAGAATCAAGATTGCCACAGGACAAGTGGCTGGTCATGAAGCAAAAGAAGGCAAGGTAGGCACGTTGACACTGTTTTACAGGTCTTTCTTGTTATGTAATGACACTCTTTTTTAGATCTTTCTTTTTTAAACAATGACACTCTTTTACAGATGTTTAATTTTATATAATGACACTATTTTTCAGATCTTTCTTTTTTTAAATGACATTATTTTATGAATCTTTTTTTTAAAATAATGACACTCTTTTATGATCTTTCTTTTTATTTAATGACACTCTTTAATAGATCTTTTTTTTATATAATGGCAATATTTTACAGATCTGCTGACAATATTTTAACATATCTTTCTTCTTGTATAATGACACTCTTTTACAAATCTTTCTTTTTATAGAATAATACTTTTACAGATCTTTCATTTTATATAATGACACTCTTCTTCAGATGTTTATTTTTATTTTAATGACTCTCTTTTACAGATTTTTCTTTTTATATAATAACACTCTTTTAGGATCTTTCTTGTTATATAATGACACTCTTTTACACATATTTCTTTTTGCATAGTGACACTCTTTTACCAGTCTTCTCTTTTTTTTTATAAAGTGTGTCTCAGTGGTGAAGGGATCCTTATGTTTGTTTGTGCTCTTAAGGTCGTAGGCAAGTTTCCAGATTATGTAATTCAGAACAGTTTACTCCATACAACATGGAAGTACCAGGGGACTTCATGTGAAAACCTTAAATATTTGTTTGTATGTGTGAATATATTCTGAAAAATAAAGAGCAAGTGTAATATTGTTTTATATTGGATTCCTTCTATAATGTCATTAGCAACACAGATCATCCACCGTAAGTTTTCACAGTGCAAAACCTGGGCAGTTTTGTAACTACCATGTGTCACCCATGCAGGATAACTCTCTTGGCCTAATTTTCCCAGGGAAAAGTAACTCTCGTATGTTCAGAACAATGTATTCTATGGAAGCTGTCAGATAAGAAGAGCAATTCTCTACCGTTTCATTGTGGAGTGCCTGGAAATAAGAAAGCTGATCAACTGGCAGGGGAAGGTGCGACAAAAGTGCAGCCGGATGTACCAGTCACATACCACCAAAAGAAAAGGATCATTAAATCGATCAGAAAACCACCAGCCCCAGCACAAGATGACTATTTTATTATGGACAGATCAGAACAAATCATTATCCTCTGCCTCAGAACTGGGCACAACCGATTACGTAACTATATGTACACAAAATTCAAGGTAGGTGTATCAGTAATGTGCACCTGTGGAAAGGTGCCCCAGACAGCAGAGCATGTACTCCAGGACTACACCGAATTTGACACATTAAGGCAAACCTTTTGGCCAGAAAGAACAACAGTGGAAGGTAAACTCTATGGACCACTGAATGAACTAACAACAACAGTAAAATTTATACAAGAGACAAAATTGCTGATACAGACAACTTATTTCAGGCGAACAAAAGAAGAAGAAGAAGAATCCAAAGAGAGAGGCAGCATAACCTTCTCTGCAGTTAGCTGCATGCTAAACTTCTTCGGTTTCTGTGAGGAAGGATAGCGCCATTCCTCGCTCACTCTGATTCTGGCTGCTCATAGTAAACTCAGTTTTATCTCTGGTACCATCCTTCTGCTTCAGAGTAACACATAAGTTCTTGACAAGCATCAGTGCATCATTTTTTCAATTATTGAAAAAACCTGTTGTGTCATCAAAAGCCTGTTGTGTCTTCAAAAACCTGTCACGTCATCAAAAACCTGTCATGTCATCAAAAACCTGTCGTTCCATGAAAAACCTGTCACGTCATCAAAAACCTGTTGTGTCATCAAAAACCTGTCATGTCATCAAAAACCTGTTGTGTCATCAAAAACCTGTCGTGTCATCAAAAACCTGTCATTTCATAAAAAAAAACTGGTTGTGTCATCAAAAACCTGTGGTGTAATCAAAAACATGTTGTGTCATAAAGTCATTAAAAAAACTGTCAACAAAAACCTGCCGTGTCATTAAAAAACTTTAGTGTCTTCAAAAACCTGTAAATACAGAAGAACCGATTCTCACAGGGTGACACAGTAAAAATATTGAAATACTTTTCACTTTATTTTTCAGCAAATTATTTTTTTATGAACAATTCATTTTTATTTCTTTGTTTTTCAATTGAATTTCACTTTTTCAGTAACTATTGCACACATTTGTTACAGTTTTTTGGGTCTTTCTTTTATGTCACCTCGAAGTGTTTACTTGTCTGCAGATTGTGCGCACTGCCAGTTTGTTTTAATTTGTCACCTGCTTTGCTTTGATTTTTTGTTTTATTGAATCAAGCACCAACAAAAGAAAAAATCTGGCTCTCCAGACATTGTACCAGATGAGACATTTGTAAGTACCCTGTTTTGTGTGTATATGTGAGAGTATGTTTAGGCGGAGCAGGTTGGTTAGGGCTGCAGGAGTTTCAAGGAAAGAAAGAATACATAATCACGAAATCAGACGAATTCTAAGAATAAAGCCAGTCTTACAGGTCATCGAAGAACAACAACTGAAGTGGTTTGGACACCTAACAAGAATGCCCTGGTACTATCTGCCACAGCAAGCCACACTAAAACATTACAACGGGTATAGAGCGAGTGGAGGACTTTGAAAAAGATTGAGTAATGGCATTAGGAACAGCCTTACAGAAATGAACATCAGTCTTAATAGTGCTCTTGACAGAGCCCATCAACGAACATTACATCTTTCCCTGACACTTCGATGAGGTACAAGGTGGAAGAGAAGAAGAAGAAGGTTGGTGGATATAGGAGATGCACATACTTGATGCTTGTATGCGTATATGTATGCTATGTCTGTGTTTGTGTCACATAACTTGAGAGGATTTCTTGAGAGATATTGCACAGTTTGGTACCATCGCGTGTTGAAATATCTGTGACGCATGTGTATGTGATTGACATTACATGTGTCACGATACATGAAAATGGACTTTATTTTAGATAACTTGAGAGGATTTCTTGAGAGATATTGCACAGTTTGGTACCATCGCGTGTTGAAATATCTGTGACGCATGTGTATGTGATTGACATTACATGTGTCACGATACATGAAAATGGACTTTATTTTAGAATTTTGATATGAGGTGACTTGTTTCCTTCCCGTTTACGGTTTGCACATTTTATGTAATTAAATAAGGTCGAACACTTTTCTGGTAAATTGTTTGTAAAAACCTAGCCAGGAGTGGAGAAAACCTGGCCATCTTAGATGGGATCTTCCCAGTGTGGGTTTAGGAGCCTCATTGTGGGAGAAAACAAAAACGGACCCACTGCCTCCCTCCAAACAAGCCTGTCGTAAGATTTGACTAATTGGGAGCATATATAGAAGTTGGAGTACATCTGCCTTAGGCAAGTAACAGAGAGACTGCATATGAATAAGCCAGATGTGTGAAATGGTTATGCACGCAACACTCAGGTTTTGGATCAAGACTAAAGTCTGGAGGTGAACGAACACCTTGAACTTTCCACTTGCCTAAGTCAGTGAAGGCAGAGAAGAAGAAGAAGAAGGAATATTTTTAGTCAAAAACCAATTTGTACACAAATGCACTGAGAGATGAAGAAGCAACAGTCTGCACACAAATAAGCCAGATATTTTTTCCTAGTTACAGTTTTTCCCAGTTACTGTAACAGTTTTCCCGAGGTTTCATTTGTCAGATCTGCTGGGTGTGGCCACACAGTGTTTTGCACTTCCTCCAGGGGAGGTCACTCTGGCAAGACAAATTCTGGAGTCTGTTCAGCATGAAGACACAAACAGAAGGCTCATACATAATCTATCTCACGCATTCGAATGCCCCGAGTGCTGTGATGTCAATTGACTCAACTCAACTCAAGCCAGATCTGTACAGTTGGTGCATGGATGTAAAACTCAGGTTCTGGAGCAAGATTAAAGTCCAGAAGTTGACGAAGAACCAGATTTGGTTTGGTTTGGTTTATTCAACGGATCAGCATCATGGAACATGGGAGAACCAAAACTTTGTGCCAAATATTACAATCTGTGGAAGCTAAGAAGGAGGAGACTAATACTTGTGATGAATAAAAATTTCAGTATTTCAGGATCCTCACCGGTGCTACAGAGTCTGTGCACTGTGCTGAGCTTTTTTGGACTCAGACTTGAGTTAGAAGAAGAACGGAGCACTTATAGGTTACTACCTGTGTGCCATGATGTTGGTCCGTTGTTCAAACTTCAAACTTCTTTGATAGAGATACAGAGAAGAAGAGGAAGAACAATGTTTGTTGAAATTCCCTCCAGAAACAAGTTTACATATAGATTATCTTCCCTTGCACTGGCAGGGGGCCGCATTTTTTAGGTAAAAGAATAGACCCATGACGCCAGTTAATGTGTTGTAAAGGCTGACTACTTAGGAGTTTGATGAAATTAGATGTATTTCCCTGTTGCAACCTGGCTGTAAACACAACATAACACAACATGCCAACCAACTTTTTAAGGTTGAATGAAAAAGAAGAAGAAGAAGAAGAAAAACACTAAGACTACTGTGGCAAGTTGAGCGTAATACTTCATTTTCAATGATCTCTGGCCGTGAGCTTAATCCACTTTGGGTCATAAACTGGGAGTTCAGTTTGAGGTCTCCAAGTTTTCCCAAAGTTTCAGTTGTCAGATCTGCTGGGTGTGGCCACACATTGTTTTGCAGGTCCTACCGGAGAGGACAGTCTGGCAAGACAAATTTTGGAGTCTGTTCAGCACACAGACACAGACAGAAGTCTGTTTGGCTCATACCTAATTCTTCTTCTTTGCATTCACCAGCTGTAAACTCTGGTCGAAAGTTCTGGTTGTTCATCCACTTCTGGACTGCAGTCCTGTTCCAGAACCTGAGTGTTGCATGAGCATCCGTTTGATGGATCTGATACATTTGGAGATGTACTCCGATTTTGAAGGAAGCTTCCAATTTTTCGACTCTTTCGACATGCTTTTGGGTAGGCAGTGGGTCTATTCTTGTTTTCCCTATAATAGGGCCCTGGAACCCACACGGGAGATACATAATTTATATGAGTGTTTTTTGAGTCTGCAGTGTTCTGTGTATAAGCAGAAAATAGTAACTTGGTCTGGTCTGTTTAGACATTCAAGAAAATAAAAAATCATACAAAATATCCAGTGTTTGTTTTCCAGTTTGTTTCAGATTTTTCTCTTAATGAGGATTGTCACTTTTGGGAAAGAAAATGGCTAGTATATTTGTTATTTTGAGTGTAGTACAAGAAGTTGAATATAGGGATTTATGTCTCCGCAGCCCCATGTGCGAGTCTGGGACTCTGTCAGCCTCAACACCCTTCATGTCATAGGACTAGGGATCTTCCAGCGGGCAGTTGCCTGCCTGAGCTTTTCCAAACAGGTGAGTTTTCTCTATTGTAGTCTTTGGTTTTTTGTGGAAATGATTTCAAAACTTGGGTCATAAGAAGACGGTTTGGGACTTGTTTGTTGTTTATATAGCTTTCTCTTTCTCTCTTTTATTTTTAAATTTATTATTATAGTTTTAGTTTTTGTGTTTTCGATGTCTAGGATTTTAATCGGAAAGATTAACATTTCAAGGAGGAGAATCAAACAGGTTCAAATCTTGGACAGCCTGTTCAACAGTATTGCCCTATAGCACAGTTATACTGGGCCACCACAAAACGGTTATGTTGTTGTTATCGATCCACCGGCGCATGAGCTTTCGCCCTCTAGCCCAGTGCCATGTAGTGGAATTTGCATGTTTTCTCAAGCTGTTCTTTTCCTCCGTACAAGGTGTTCCACTTGTCTGGTCTCGGAGGGAGTAGCATTCTTCTTGTCTCACTGAGTTTTGGGCACTCAAAGAGATGGTGTTCAACAGTTTCGTAGGGGTAGTTACATAGCTGGCACTCTGGAGAGTGTTGTGGCTGTATTCTATTTAGATGTCCATTGAGTGGAGTATGTTGCGTTCTAAGTCTGAAGATGGTGGCCTGGTCCCTTCTTGTTAAATGGTTAATGCTGTCATTAGGATCAGGGCTAGCCATGTTTCTATAAACCTCTCTTCCAGTATCTCCCATGGCCCATCCGTTCAGCCAAGTCTCTTTGTTTATAGCTTTTATAAGTGTTTTTGCTGTCTGTAGGGTTGTCGCTGTAGGTGGTTGTTCTTGTGTTGCTCCTTTCTTTGCCAGTCTGTCAGCTCTGTCATTACCTGGTGTGCCAGAGTGGCCTGGAATCCACTGCAACACTATTCTGGTTATGTAACCAGTAATCTAGTGTGAGTGGGTCTTGACTGTGGATTATATAGCTGCTTGTTGCAAGTGTTTGTTGAAAACCTGCTGCCTGATCTTTTATTTGTTCAGTCTTTTGTGTGTGTTGATATTTCACTTAGGACATGTTTGACATTGGCTACTCTGTTAAGAAAGGCTGCTGGAGTTTCCAGAAACATGTGGATAGATTGCAGATATAACAGGCATAGCCTTGTGCACTAAATCATTGAAAGGTAACATGTAAAATGAACTGGAAATCATATGAAAAGGAAACCAGAACGGCAACTGAAATGAGCTTATAAGAAGATATTACCTACTTGGGAAGTAACGAACAGACAGTAGTTTAGTCGAGACAACCAGAAGAGCAAGAAACTGAACCGTGTTTCTCCCTCGACACCTGAAGCGATAAAGTGAAGAAGAAGAAGAAGAAGAAGAAGAAGAAGAAGAATAGTTTAGTCTAAAGTTTGATCTCCTGATAAAACAACTTGCTTTTGAAAGGGTCTTAAAATGAGAATTTGTAAAGCGGTGACTTGTGTTTATACAAAGTGTCCCATAAGTTTCCATACATAGGAAAAACTGACATTTGTTTTAATGGAAACCATTTTTTATTTATAATTGCATGCTGTAAATGGCTACCATTGTTTTCAAAACACATTTCAGTGCATTTGCTCCATTTTTTAAGAACACATACAAGCACAGCTGGAGTTATGCTTAAAATGGTGATGGTGATACTTTCTTTGAGATGATTTAAGTTTTGTATCTTGTCTTGACATGCTGCCGGAGATCGCAGATTGTGGAGAGGCATGATCGCCCATGTCAGTCGGCAAGGCACCTGATGATGATGATGACGATCATTTCTTGATACACTGTGGCCTTCAAATGCTACTAAAAATTATTTTCATGAAAAAAAGTTTATTATTTTTCCTATGTATGGAAACTTATATGATATGGATACTTATATGATACCCTGGGTGTCAGTGTGTGTGCATGCATGTCTGTGTGTGTGGTTTTTTTTCTCTTTATAATGTCTATCCTTTAAAGTTTGTATTATTTTTGGGTGCGTCCAACCCTCGATAGTCGGCTCTGTGGCTAAGTCAATGCGAACGCTTCGCTTCGTAATGCCGGGATGCCAGGTTCGATCCCAGCTGCGGGCAGTGCGCCTTGCGTTGGTTTCAACAGTGGTATCAAGAAAGCCGACCGTCCAGAAAGCAATGGCAAACTAGTGGATGTAAATTGCCTAGAAAAACCACACAACAGCCAGGGGCTGTTAAGGTTTGTTCTGCAACTTCCTGTAAAGGATACGCAACTAACTTAACTAACCCTAGATAGTGTGTGTCAGTTTTTTTTTTTTTTAAAGTATGTTCAATTCTGGGTTTTATGCTGTAATTTATTTCATTTCTGCTAGGATGGTGGCCATCACCTTGTGGTCATCGACGAATCCAACGAACACACCATTTCGGTGTGGGACATCAGTCGAGACAAACCTCACAGGATCACAGAGACCAAGGTATACAAACAATGAAAGAACAAATCCCCCCCATCCCCCATTACTGCCCGTATTTACCAATTTTGATGTGTAGTCGGAGGGTCTTTGAGCCTGAGGATTAAGGGCTGCATGGTTAGTGCTGTTGCCACAGGTTAGTTTTAATTTTGCCCCCAAACCAACAAATCCACAACCTTGTCTAGGATTCGAACCTGGGCCTCCCGCATGAAAGCCTAGCAATCCTTACTGTTTGGCCAGCCCCTCTCTCCTCTTTTTTTGCAAAATATGATTTATAAGTGTAACTGCTACAGTATGTGTTAATATCACCATTATCATCAAGTTCCTTGCCGACTGGCTGGGAGGTGATCATGCCTCTCCACAGTCTGCGATCTTCAGCAGCATATATCAGTTCTCACATTGTCTTCCTCTGTCTCTTTTTCCACGGAACCATCCAGTGGTCACATATTCCAGTTTTCTTCTTATAATATTACCAGAAAATTGTGACTGCTTCTTTCTGAGGGTTGTGTTAAGTTGTCTTAAAGCACTCGCCTCTTTCAAAAGGTCTGGGTTGCCCTTTTTGGCTGTACATTAATATCATCATCATCAGTTCTCGTTATGCCTAGTGGTACATGAGGCTTCAGAGAGGACTTTCCATGCTTTCCTGTCCTGTGCAATCTCCAGTGCAGTTTTCCATGTCAGAGATGCTAAACTCAGGTCACTTTCCATCGTTCGTCTCCATGTTCTTTTTGGGCGCTTCTTTTTTCTCTTTCCCTCTGGTATCCAGGTGAGAGCTGTTTTGGCAGGTATATCAGGATTCATTTTCCTAACATGGCCTAGCCATTTCCATCTTCTCTAGGCTTTCATACTGTCATACATCAATATACCCAGCCAGAAATGGAGACCTCAGAATGTCCTAATGTGGGGCTATTCAGCTGGTGGCCCAAGGGCCAAATTTGGCCCGCGAAGGCCTAGTAAGTGGCCCACAGATTATTGCCAGCTGTATTAATGATCTGTCTATCCTGGGGCTCTGGCCTCTCACCTGTGATAATCCCCTATGAAAAAATTTTGTGCTCCTGAGTAGCCTGGTTCTAGGGAGTAAATGTGGCCTGAGTGATGTCGACCACATCTTCCATTGAATACCAACTGGTCTTTAAAGAAGATATAGATCTGGCACTAAATGCCAGATGCACCAAAGACTTGAAAAGTGTTCTTTGCTTGTTGTACTTGTACATTAATTTATATTATAATGATCATACACATCCAGTTTGGCAGTCAAACATCTATTTAGGCAGTAATGTATATGAAGATGGTAGTACTGATAGACATTCGCTCCCCTGCAGATCAGAAGGTCATGGGTTTAGGTCCTGATCGAGCCAGACTTTAAAAAAACAAAATGACCTTGGCTCCCAGGTTGACCCAGCCTTAAATTGGTACCAATTAGAGTCCTGGGAAATACAGGCGGCCGGCGCAATGAGGACCACATCGCTCACCAAGTGCCGATTGGTCTTATTCTTTTTCTTGTGTTTGCTTTCTGATTTACACCGACAGACAAGTTCTTGTGATAAACTTGACTGTTTTTAGGCGTTCCCTTTTAGTTCCATACAGCTTTGAGTACAGTGTTGACTCTGTAGGCCAGAATTCTCTTCTTAGATGGGTCTGTAAAATATAGATCCAGCTCTATGTGTCCAGTGCATCTGAAGGAGTGGAAAAGGGTCCTTTACTCTACTTCTTTCTTTTACTGATAGACACACAGGTCCTTACCAGCTTAGGATGGCAGGTGATGCCTGGCCGGTGTAGCAGTTACAGGTGCTCTAGTTATAACTTCTTTGGAGGTTGAACCGGGTATTTGGGATCTGCCTGTTTGGTCTGCTGTCCAAATTGAGATTTCATAATCTCAGAATGGTATGGTAAACCTTTGTGTAGCAGCCTGGGATGGACAGATAAATTTATCATTAGACACATTCTTCAGTGGAGCATAGGCTTTCAACCAACTCATGCCAAGTTATCCTATCCTATTGTATCACATGCAGCTCACAGTGTCCTCCCCTTTTAACTTCACTCTCTAGTTTCCTTCTCTTAAGTTGTTAGTGACGCCTTTAATCCATATTCTTCTAGGTCTTCCTCTGTATCTTAGTGTTTCTATTTTCATGCTGCTGCCATCGTTGGCTTTGTACTCATTAGGTAACTGAGCCATTTCATTTTTGTTTCTCAATGAGTGGATGTTGTTACAATAGTTCTTCTAACCTCTTAACTTCATAGTCTTTACTGGCTTTGTAAGCGTGTGTATAGCGAACTTATCATGTCCGACTACTTCCATCAACAACAAATTGCATTTCTGGTGGCAACTGTTGGCTTTGGCACCTCTAGAATCTGCCATATGCATTTACTGCGTGCACATATTTCTGGATTGTTTCGGGACTAATTGTTCATTCACAAGTTTCAAATGAGACAGTGAGGGAAACCTGATTGCAGTGAAACCATGACTAAGACTGGCTTTGTGTGCAGCAGTGAAACCATGACTAAGACTAACTTTGTGTGCAGCAGTGAAACCACGACTAAGACTGGCTTTGTGTGCAGCAGTAAAACCATGACTAAGACTGGCTTTGTGTGCAGCAGTAAAACCATGACTAAGACTGGCTTTGTGTGCAGCAGTAAAACCATGACTAAGACTGGCTTTGTCTGCAGCAGTAAAACCATGACTAAGACTAACTTTGTGTGCAGCAGTGAAACCACGACTAAGACTGGCTTTGTGTGCAGCAGTAAAACCATGACTAAGACTGGCTTTGTGTGCAGCAGTAAAACCATGACTAAGACTGGCTTTGTGTGCAGCAGTAAAACCATGACTAAGACTGGCTTTGTCTGCAGCATTGCTCAAACATCTTCTTCTTCATTTTCACATTCCTCAGCTTAAACAGAAAGTTCTGATTGTTCACTAACTTCTGGACTTTGGTCTTGTTTCTGAACTTGACTTTTGCATGCACATCTGTTTTACGGATGTGGCTTATTTTATGCGTACTGTTGGTTCCTCACATTTTACACAGATGCACTCCAACTTTGAAGGAAGCCTCCAGTTAGTCTTCTCTTATGACATGCTTGTTAGGAAGGCAGCGGGTATAATCTTTTACTTACTTACTCAGTCACTTCTCTTCTATCTTAGAGTGTAGAGGTTTGCCAGAGATATCGCTAGACTTCTCTATGAGCAGTTTGGGTCTTTCCCCTCTTACCAACCTCATGGGTGCCCTGAAACCCATACAGAGGTCTCATAATCTCATTTCTCAGTTGGTTATTTTCCTTTTTTAGTCGATTATTTCCCTTTTCTAACTCTGTCTTATCTTGCACACATCTACAGAGTTCCACAGAGCCGGTTCTGGCTGTCGAGTACCATCCCCTGGAGAAGCAGCAGATTGTCAGCTGTGGGAAAAATCAGATTACCTTCTGGACCTTTGAAGGAGGGTCTTTAGCAAAGAAACAGGGTATTTTTGATGTGAGTAACCCTGAAGCTTTAGTTGACTCTTTAGCAAAGAACTAGGATATTTTGGTTTGAGTACTCCGGATGCTTCACTGGGCTGTTTAACAAATGAACAGTATTTTTGATGTGAGTACTTCTTAAGTTCATTTAGTTCAGGATTTTATAAATATATGGGCTTTGTTATAGGATTGTTAATATGTCTTACAAGGATTGTAAATAGAGTTTTGGTATATACAAATTTGTCAGCCTGTGGGTTTACAAATAGAGTTTTTGACACTATTTCTTATAAGCCTAGTGAATTAGATATAGAGGTGTGATAAAACTCAGATTTATCAAATTAGAAGACTGGAGTAAGGTTGTGGTCTCAAAGAATTTACACACTAAGAAACATGTTTAGGAGTAGATTGGACTACATATGAGTATGCCTGTCATTCAGTGAGGATAATCTTGAAATGGAGAATGAACAAGATTCATAAACTGCAGAATTAGAAGTGGTGGTGTTGGGAAATTAGAATTTATTTTTGGGTATAATTAGAAGTAGTAGGTATGGTATAATAATTTGGTAATGCAAAGAATTAGTACAGGTTCAGAGAACTAAAATGTATCAGCCCTAAAGATTAAAAATAGAGACTATAAGTTATAGAAATTTATTAGATAGATCAGATGCTTACAGTGACTAGAAAATGAGGCAGAGGCAGACCTCTGCGAATGTGGAAACAAGACATTTAAGATGCATTGGCTGTGAAAACACTGTTCTGTATGCGAAAGTCACTATGGGGTATAAAGAATTAATGGAGCCAGTGCTTGGTGAAGCATGGGTACACATGGGCATTCATGCTGTGTTGACAGGTTGTGAGTGTAAACATCTCAGCCACTTGCAACTGGTGAAACAGAGGCTGCTTGATATTCACGGGTGACTACAAACACCCCAGGTTTTGGCAAGAGAGTGAGATCCACACAGAGTTGACTACAGGTGGGAAAAGTCCTGTGGTAGTTTGAGTCAGGCAGTCAGCTTTCAGTTGGTCTAAGTGTGTGGATGTGTGTGCGAATTGTTCAAGTCTTGTGGACGCATGGACTTTGTTGTTTTGTGACTGTTTTAAAATTGTGGTTGTCTTCTGTTGGAGCTCATAAACTTTCCACATGACTGTGCTTGATCATGAGTTAGACTGCATAATTCTGTCAATGTGATTTCTAGAATGTACGGGTGTGTGGCCCATGTGTGTTAGGGTGGCGGCACAGTTGCGTCTGTCTGAAACGCTAGTTGATGGGGTATCCTTAAGTGCACCTTTAGAAGGTGCCAAGGAACTTAGTGTTGACTAACCTGGAGTTGTGATGGAAAGTTATCGGAAGCTAGTTAACTGGATGTTAATCAGTGATACTTCAATGACTAGGTAGCAGACAGGAAGTCTGGATTATTTTCACCAAATGGTGCATCTACCTTGGGTCCTCGTATGGCGGGGTCTCTATGAGAGAAAACCGTGAGTGGACTGTCACTGCACATCACGTGGGTGTATCTGCGCCATCGGGCGTGAGTCACAGGTAGCAGTCACCTTGTACATAGTTCACTGGGATGTATCGTCCATGTCTGGAGAGACTGCCAGTGTGAGTGTATTTGGCAGGGAGAGTGTTTATGAAAATATTTTTTCACACAATCAAAGAGTCATATTCTTCATCTACTCCGCAGAGATATGATAAACCAAAATTTGTTCTGTGTTTGGCATTTGCTGACAATGGAGATGTGTTGTCTGGGGACTCCAATGGCAGCATTTTGGTCTGGGGCAAAGGTGAGTGACCAGTGGGCAGAATGGTAATGAGGGAGAAAGGCGAGTGACCAGTGGGCAGAATTGTAATGAGGGAGAAAGGTGAGTGACCAGTGGGCAGAATTGTAATGAGGGAGAAAGGTGAGTGACCAGTGGGCAGAATTGTAATGAGGGAGAAAGGTGAGTGACCAGTGGGCAGAATTGTAATGAGGGAGAAAGGTGAGTGATCAGAGTGGACAGAATTGTAATGAGGGAGAAAGGTGAGTGATCAGAGTGGACATAATTGTAATGAGGGAGAAAGGTGAGTGATCAGAGTGGACAGAATTGTAATGAGGGAGAAAGGTGAGTGATCCAAGTGGGCAGAATTGTAATGAGGGAGAAAGGTGAGTGATCCAAGTGGGCAGAATTGTAATGAGGGAGAAAGGTGAGTGATCCTAGTGGGTAGAATTGTAATGAGGGAGAAAGGTGAGTGACCGGTGGGCAGAACTGCAATCAGGGAGAAGTGTGAATGATAAGAGTGGACATAATTGTAATCAGGGAGAAAAGTGAGTGTTAAGAGTGGACACAATTGTAATGAGGGAGAAAGGTGAGTGATCTGAGTGGACAGATTTGTAATGAGGGAGAAAGGTGAGTGATAAGAGTGGAAAGAATTGTAATGAGGGAGAAAGGTGAGTGATCTGAGTGGAAAGAATTGTAATGAGGGAGCAAGGTGAGTGATAAGAGTGGAAAGAATTGTAATGAGGGAGAAATGTGAGTGATCTGAGTGGACAGAATTGTAATGAGGGAGAAAGGTGAGTGTTAAGAGTGGTAAGAATTGTAATGAGGGAGAAAGGTGAGTGATCTGAGTGGACACAGTGTAATGAGGGAGAAAGGTGAGTGATAAGAGTGGAAAGAATTGTAATGAGGGAGAAAGGTGAGTGATAAGAGTGGAAAGAATTGTAATGAGGGAGAAAGGTGAGTGATCTGAGTGGACAGAATTGTAATGAGGGAGAAAGGTGAGTGATCTGAGTGGACAGAATTGTAATCAGGGAGAGAGGTGAGTGTTAAGAGTGGAAAGAACTGTAATGATGGAGAAAGGTGAGTGAACTGAGTGGACAGAATTGTAGTGTTATATGGTTTTTAAGATTAGTGACAAGTTAGCAGAATTCTAATCTTATGTTTGGTAGAGGCAAGTGAGCAGCAGATAGATCTTTGTTGTTGTGTATTGGTACAACAATATTAATGACTAGCTGATAGGTCGTGCTACTGTAATGTTACATAGGGCACTCTCTTGTTCTGTCCTCTGAATTGTGGACACCATGCTGCATACAGACAGACATTTGTAATGGGGGATGTTTTCACCCAGATTAGGATGGTTGGGGGAAGGCCCAAAGCTGACCTAAAACACCGAGATAGTCCAGATACTTGGATTAAACGAGAATCTGGAGATAAGTGACTAACCACTGGTTATCACGGGGACCACGATGATGCGACCAAAGGTCGCCACGTGAAAAGTAAAGGATCACCACGTGTTGTCACGTGAAACGAACCCGTGGTATATGTCAGACTTGACTCTGGTCAAGTTTAGTTTGTGTCGACCTGTTGGAGTGAGAGGACGTGCGACTGAAAGTGAGAATGTCTATGTGAGTGCCTGTGAAGAAAGGAGACCCTGCCGACGAAGTGTGAAGCCGAGACTGACCATGCCAGTGTGTGAGATGGCCAGAACTTCACCGTGAATCCATGGGAGCCAACTTTGGTCAGTGAATGCTTGAAGAAGACTGTTCGTTGAAGGCTGCGTGAGTTTGGGTACGAGAGCTGTTCACTAGGACACCGACAGGACATTCTGTTTTGTAAGTGTAAATATGTCAATAAATTCATGTCTCGTAAGCTCACATCGGTGTCGGCTTGTGCCAGTTGTGTAACGTGGAGCGTGTGAGAAGATCATCCACCACACACGCATGAACACTGCCTAGACAACGAGAAGAAACACACACCACTTATTACAACATTGTATTGTCTTTTTTGATAGATGCTGCAGGCAGACATGGTTATGTCTCTGTTTAATAGTTACCACTGCAGGCATGCATGGTATTATCTTTTTTGATAGATACTGCAGTTTAACATGGTATTGTCTGTATTTGATAGTTACCACTGCAGGCATACATGGTATTGTCTGTATTTGATAGTTACTGCTGCAGGCATACATGGTATTGTCTGTATTTGATAGTTACCGCTGCAGGCATGCATGGTATTGTCTGTATTTGATAGTTACCACTGCAAGCATACATGGTATTGTCTGTATTTGATAGTTACTGCTGCAGGCATACATGGTATTGTCTGTATTTGATAGTTACCACTGCAGGCATACATTGTATTGTCTGTATTTGATAGTTATCGCTGCAGGCATACATGGTATTGTCTGTATTTGATAGTTACCACTGCAGGCATACATGGTATTGTCTGTATTTGATAGTTACTGCTGCAGGCATACATGGTATTGTCTGTATTTGATAGTTACCACTGCAGGCATACATGGTATTGTCTGTATTTGATAGTTACTGCTGCAGGCATACATGGTATTGTCTGTATTTGATAGTTACCGCTGCAGGCATACATGGTATTGTCTGTATTTGATAGTTACTGCTGCAGGCATACATGGTATTGTCTGTATTTAATAGTTACCACTGCAGGCATGCATGGTATTGTCTGTATTTGATAGTTACCGCTGCAGGCATACATGGTATTGTCTGTATTTGATAGTTACCGCTGCAGGCATACATGGTATTGTCTGTATTTGATAGTTACCACTGCAGGCATGCATGGTATTGTCTGTATTTGATAGTTACCGCTGCAGGCATGCATGGTATTGTCTGTATTTGATAGTTACCGCTGCAGGCATACATGGTATTGTCTGTATTTGATAGTTACCGCTGCAGGCATACATGGTATTGTCTGCATTTGATAGTTACCACTGCAGGCATACATGGTATTGTCTGCATTTGATAGTTACTGCTGCAGGCATACATGGTATGGTCTGTATTTGATAGTTACCGCTGCAGGCATACATGGTATTGTCTGTATTTGATAGTTACCACTGCAGGCATACATGGTATTGTCTGTATTTGATAGTTACTGCTGCAGGCATACATGGTATTGTCTGTATTTGATAGTTACCGCTGCAGGCATACATGGTATTGTCTGTATTTGATAGTTACTGCTGCAGGCATACATGGTATTGTCTGTATTTGATAGTTACTGCTGCAGGCATACATGGTATTGTCTGTATTTGATAGTTACTGCTGCAGGCATACATGGTATTGTCTGTATTTGATAGTTACTGCTGCAGGCATACATGGTATTGTCTGTATTTGATAGTTACCACTGCAGGCATACATGGTATTGTCTGTATTTGATAGTTACCGCTGCAGGCATACATGGTATTGTCTGTATTTGATAGTCACTGCTGCAGGCATACATGGTATTGTCTGTATTTGATAGTTACTGCTGCAGGCATACATGGTATGGTCTGTATTTGATAGTCACCGCTGCAGGCATACATGGTATGGTCTGTATTTGATAGTCACCACTGCAGGCATACATGGTATTGTCTGTATTTGATAGTTACCGCTGCAGGCATACATGGTATGGTCTGTATTTGATAGTTACTGCTGCAGGCATACATGGTATTGTCTGTATTTGATAGTTATCGCTGCAGGCATCCATGGTATTGTCTGTATTTTTGTGCCAGGTCATGCTGGTGTGAAAGCAGTGAGAGAGCAGACACTCTGGCTGGCAGTGAGACTATCAGAAATGGGCCGTCTATGGACAGGAGAGACATCATCATTGCCATATGAGAGACTAAACGTTGTGAGGCTTTCAGTTTCGTGGAAAATGATTTTTCACTGAATAGACTGCATACCATTGACGTACCAATTAGAGCAGAGAGACAGGAAAACCACAAGAGAACCACCCGTCATTTCATCAGCCAGAACAGATAGGAGTTGTTAGCCTAAAAACACTTACAGACATACTCAGGAGGAGATGGGAGCAATTATGGTCTTGCCTGACGAACGATGAGGATGATCTCTAACATAAACTATGAACTAAGTCTGTATTTGAATGGCACTAACACTAGGAGTTATGTGTTTGTTTTAAAGGCAGGAAAAAGATGTTGAGGCCGACCTCTACTATGGTATAAAGATGTGTACAAGCAGCACATGAATGATACTGGTATTGAGGTGGACTCATGGGAACAAAATGCCATGGACCATGTTGTGTGGAAAGGGCATATCAGGAAGGGAATGAGAGTGAAGGAAGAAATGATTGCAGAAAGGATGAGGGCTGAACGTCTGAAAAGAAACCTATTAAACACAAATGTTGACAACAATGGTTCTGAAATCCCATGCTATCATTGAGGAAGACTTTTCTTGACACAGACGGGTCTTGCTAGTCATACTCGCTATCGCCATGGGCTGTGAGTCCCATGCCTGGAAAGACAGAAAGGTGTCAGTCATCATCAACACTGGGAGTCATTGTATTGTCTTTGTTTGACAGGTACAAACAGAATTGTGAATGCCATGCTGTCTGCTCATGAGGGCGGAGTCTTCTCCTTGTGTACTTTGAAAGATGGAACGCTGCTGTCTGGTGGAGGGAAGGACAGAAAGATCATACAGTGGGACAGCAGTTACAGGAAGACTGGACTGGACACAGAGGTGAGTCATCTTTTGTATGTTCTTGATTGGAGCATGTTGATTATTACCTAGTGCTCAGTTAGCTAAAACTCTCTTTTCAAAGCTCTGCCATGGGTCTAATTCTTTTCGATAGCCAAAAAAAAAAAAACAATATAAAGAGTAAATTTATAGATAAATTGAAACAAAAAAGTTTTCATTCTGAAATGAAGTTTAATTTTTTTTTTCAAATTGTATATCTTCTTGTTTACTGGCTGTAAACTCCGGCCGAAAGTTCTGGTTGTTCCTCCATTTCTGGACTTTAGTCTTGTTCCAGAACTTGAGTTTTGCATGCACATTCATTTTACAGATCTGGTT